ATAATAGTAATAATATATTTGTTTATCCGCGGTGTTTCGGCGTTTATAATTGCGATTTGAGGTAGGGTGTGCATAGGAGAGGGCGCGGAAAACGTAGCACTCGTCCGACGGCCGGTTCTCGTATACCCGTGCAGCTGTATTATTGTTATACCCACGGATATTGCGCGCTCCAGCACTTGGGTGGCACACGTAAATATCATATGCATTTATTGTATGCGCTTACGTAAATATTATTGTCATTACGATTTGTCGGAATCATCGTGTCCGAATCTTGTGGCGAGGTTGTTTACTCTCCGGCACGGCGGCGGCGTCGCGTAAAGCACCGCGGCGTACGGCTGCGTATAATGGAAACCGTGTGGGGTGGGGGGAGGGAGGAGGAACCACGCTGAGAAATGTTCGTCCGCGGTTTTTTATTTTGTAAGTGCCTATAGAAGAGAGTATATAAGAGCATTATAGTATCGTCGACGTTAAGGAGGGGGGCGGGGGGAAACCATCGTCATAAAACTGGTTTCGAAATGTTTGCGACTCGAAAACCTAACAATGATACCGACCATGATATATACGACGCTATAACTGTCCGTCGTGTCTTTTTTTCGCGCCAAATCTAGGGTTGATATTGTCGAGGGCGATCCGTCTGCGCCGGGTAGGTACCTACTCGCACATGCATATGGAAATATAGAAAAAAAAAAAAAAAACGCGCTAAACGGTATTCAAAAGACCGACGCGGACGGGGAAGGCGTGTACGCGGTAAATACGCCGCGGGCCCCTCGCCACGGGACGAGAATAAAATACTATCGCGGGTATATACACACCGTTTCGGTTGTTAATGAAATATTACCGGAGATTTGTCTGGCGGCTGAGAGAAGAAAAAAAAAAAAATAGAAAAAAATGAATTATATTATTATCTTCGCGCCGCCGCCGCGTGAACTGTGCCTCCGGGACGATCGGCGGCGCGCAACTCGACCGTGTAATATTACGAGCGATGTTCTAAATCGATAGGTTATACGATTCCGACGGGCCCCGAGACCAAGAGAAGCCAAGACCAAAGAGAGAGAAAAATATACATACGTGTAAAATACGTACAACAATAATAATGATAACAATGGCTCGGACAATGTGTATAGAAATATACATATTTCTCCGCAGCCACCCCCC